AAAGGAAAGGAAAGGAAAGGAAAGGAAAGGAAAGGAAAGGAAAGGAAAGGAAAGGAAAAGACCGAGCAAGGAAAACCCACATGTTAGTGGGCTCGGTTTGCTCGCAGACTATATAAATAAGATCAGTGAGACTTTAAGAAAATCTTTTTTGCCAGGTTTGGTGGCACATGCCTGTAATCCCAGCATCAGGGAGACTAAGCAAGAGGATCAGGCCAGCCCGAGCTACATAGCGAGTTCAAGCCCAGCCTGAACTATAGAGCAAGATACTGTGTCCAAAACAAAAAATGAACAACAACAAAAAAAAGAAAATCTTTTTTCAGCTGAAGTCCTATCATCTAATCCTGACAAACAGTAGGCATTATATTTGATTAAATGAATGAGTTTTTGAAAAAGGTAAAGCAATACAGTGTTAATAACTGCATACTTTGTGTCAGGAAACTGCATTATGTACTTCGCACACATTATCTCACTCAATATTTACTAATAGTGGGAAACGCCACACAGAGCCTACTATGTGCCACACACTGCTGTAAGAGCCCGCTCAAAGGCACTGCTAATCAGGGACTGACACAGAGAGCTGTTTTAGAGTCCCTGAGATAAATTATTACCTTATTCTACCACATGCACTCTTTCTCTAATTAGGGATGGGAAAATTGAGACTTTGTAATTGGCTAAAGATTATTAAACAGAAAAGAAAAAGATTATTAACTGGTACAGCCCAAACTACAAAGCACATTTGAGGAATGAGCTTTTTCTTCCCTTGTCTCCTTTTTGGGACAGTGTGTCTAATATGAGATGTTATCAAAGTCACTAACCAGATCCTACATGTATAGTATAGGTTAAAGTTTGCTGAGGTAACAATAAATAAATAACACACACAGCATACAGGACCCCTCTTGAATACCTGTTGGCTTCCTGACCCTACCTTGCTAGGGAACTGCTGTATGACCTGGGGAATGTAGCTTATTCCTGATGGCTTTTTCTTTAAAGACACCACCACAAAAAGTTCAAACAGCTGTTGCTCTTGCAGTTCAATAAGATCCCGCTCCAAAGTCTGGTAGTGAGGATTCCTCTTGGAAGGCTGCAGCAGCTGTGCTAAGCGCTTGTGGCGACCTGTAACAAAGTCACAGAACAAGGTTTTCCCCTGTGGTGCTGTTTCGCTCTAGCCCGAGAGGTTACGACCCATATAAGAATAATCTTCCCAGTCCCTGCTCAGTGAATGTTGACTAACCAGTATCTGCTTCACACACCTACCTGTTAGGCAACGAGACACCTTGGGACAAGTGCAGATCCCTACAAACAACCAGATTCAAACCACCTCCAACCAGCAGTGAGTTAGACCAGGTCTCTACGCCCCAAATGATGCACTACATACACCCAACATGCACTATGCTATCCCATTCTTAAGGCAGCACAACAGGACACAGGAAAAGGTTTGCAAAATGCAATGGACTAACAATAGATACTGCTGGGAATGTCACGAAATCATGGGGGAGGTCAGAATTTGTAGATACAGAAATGAGCTTAATAAAATGAAACAAATCTATCTTTATACTATGCTTTTCCTTTCTCTCCTTGGCAAATGCTATTAACAATGAAAACATGCTTGTATACTAAACTCATAGGGAAAATGAAGGGGAAGAAGATACCTATTAACAGACTACTACTTAAAAGAATCAGGCCATGGCAGCATATTTATAAAACAGTATCCCCAAAAATTCTGAACAATTTAGAAGATTCTTGACTAGGGAAATGGTATACTTGCAGAAGAAAAAGTTTATGTGTTTCAGAGATTTGTTTATGTATCATTCTGAGTCACTGAGCAAGAGACTCATCCTCTGTTTTTTTTTTTTTGAGATATGATGCATTCTTCCTCAGAAGAAGTTAATTATGTCTCAAAATACTAAACATACTTTAGAAATACAATGAGGAATGATTCCCTAGAATTATGCAGGACATTCAGTGCTCCAGGCAAAGCCTTAGTTACCCCAAAGGGTTTTGTTCAAGTCAAGACTATTTTAGGTCTTGCCTTTTCTTAACAACAGCACTAAAATAGTCATCCTCACACATCAAGGCTCAACTTTGTGATGCTTTAAGTTTCACCTTTAGTCAGGCTACTGAATTAGACATCAGAAGCAGCTGAGGCTAGTAAAGGAAGCATAAGACTATTAATCCTAAGATTACAGAGTATCAGATTTGGAACTGTCCTGGACTCAGCCTTGGTAATTCACATCTCCTATTATTGCATGCATCAGTATGTGTGGTATGTAACAGGAACAGCAGCTTGCTGTGAAAATGCACTAGATGAAGATACAGAGCACCATGAAGTGCTTGGACCAGGAGAGCCAGAAATGCATATTCTAGCACAAGGCACACAGCATGAAACGGTGGAACATAACTGCCTATGAATACAAACAGGTACTATTTCCCTTCTCCTCTTTTTTCCCCAGTGCTGGGCTTTGCATGTGGTAGGCAATTATTCTGCAACTGAGCTACACAGTTCCTAAATGTTTTTCTTCTTTTTCTCTTCCTTCCTTCCTTCTTTCTTCCTTTCTTTTACTAAATGTTTCCTCTTTTAAACCCAAAGATATCAAAGTCAATAATTATACTTGAGTTACTATGAAAAGTCAGGTATTAAGTGGAAAGTATTTGTCTCAGACGGCAATTCATACACTTTGTTGGGCTGCCACAGAATATCACATATGTGTCTGGACATGACACTCTGTGCTGCTCTTACAAGATTGTCCCACCCGGGCCAGGGAGATGGCTCAGTAGGATAAGCGCTTGACTGGCAAACGCAAGGATCTGAGTTCAATCCCTGGTTCGGCAAAAAAAAAAAAAAAAGATTGTCCCACCCTAAGAACCATACGGTTGGCCTCCATCCAATAGAGAGATTTTAAATTCTGTCGAACAATTACTGGTGTACTAGTGAGTTTCCCAAATCTCAACAGATTCAGAAAATGAAGAAATGACCTACAAATGAAACTTCTTATGGGAAAACACAGGCTTAAGCACAACGGCAGGGGCCACCCCACCCATAACCAGGAACATCACGAGCAAGGGCACAGCCCCACTGACTCACTCACTCTTTGGCAGATACTCGCCGTCACTTTCATTCCCACTGGCTTCACCTGCAAAGAGAGGAAGAGCGTCCATCTGTACCATTCAACAATAGGAAGTACCTGAGGATGAGTATGAAGTAAATGCTCGGCGGGCCTGGAGACTAGGTTCAAGGAAGAATAAAGATTCTAAGCCATTTCTCTATGCCAAGTAAAGCAGTTGTCAAAAGAGAATACAGTGAAGGATTCAGGTGTTCTGATCTGCACAGGATACAGGAAATGCCTGAAACTGTGGCTCATACTGAACCATATACATTTTTTTCTTATATATACATAGCCATAGGAAAATTTAATTAATAAATTAGGAACAGTAAGATATTTAAAACAATATATACAATTATGACAATATAATAAAAGTTATGTGAATATGGTCTCTCTCAAAATCTTACTGTATTCTCTTTACCCTTCTTGTGATGATGTAAAGTGAGACTAAGGCTATGTGAAAGCGAGGGGAAAGGTGTAAGCATTGTGCCTATCTTTAGGCCACTATGTAAGGGTCACTTGAGACAGTGACAGTTGACCCGATAACCTAGATGGCTACTACTAGGTGGGTATATCTTACCTCTGTGGTGGAGAGTTGGACAAAGAGAAAATTCACATCCTGAGCAGGAAGGAACAAAACAGCTCAAGATTTCACCATACTAATTGGAATTCTGCCCACTATAAAATTTACAAATTTTTCTATGATTTTTCCATTTAATACATTCAAGCCTCAATTTAACACTAGTAACTGGAGCCTTGGAAAGTGACCTACAAAAAAAACTCAAAGAAGACTCAAAGAAATGACTCTATTACAGTAATCTTTTTTCCACATTCCACCTTGCTCTTATGCTCTCCTCTAATCCTAATTCTAGAAATTCACCATCTTTTAGACTAGTTTTATGAAGTCTAGTTCACAATGGATCCTATTATTACTTTCAAATCTTCTTTGTATAAGACTTGTATAATATTAAAGTAGGACATTAATTTGCTAAACAAAAACCTGAACACCAACCAGATTACAACGTTGAGAAACAGTACTAAGTTTGTTTCATGGTACCATGATTGAACACCAAGCTAATCCATAGCCCTTTTTATTCTGAGATGGGGTCTAACTAAATTGCCAAATTTCTGCTGGTGGGCTCAAATCTGCAGTCCTCTTGCCTCAGCCTCCTAGAGTGCTGGGACAACAGGCGCCAACCACACACGTGGCTACCAAGTAAAGACTTATCATTTAACCTCTTCCTACCTATAATATCTCTACCTACCTATGAGCCCATATTGATCTTTACTTCTAATTCTTATAGTTCTAATAATGATATGTTCTGTTCTTATTTTCTGAAATCATATTTTAATTATCCTGAGCATAAGGATCTGTGCTGTTTTCACAAGGAATTGTTGGGCTTTTGTTTACCTGGTACTTGGACTGAACCCAGGGCCTTGCAAATGCTAAGCATGTCCTCCACCACTGCCAAAAAGGGAACGTTTTGTATCATAATTCTGGGCACACGGTTTACAAAAAAATAAACAAAAGAGCTAAAAGTTGGGCATTGCGGTGCATGCTTATAATCCCATCACCCATAGGTGGAGGGAAAAGATCTAAGTAGAAAGATACATATTACAATACTGTTTGAAGATATATATGCCTATCTTCACCCATAGACAATTTAAACATTAGAAATGACCAGGTAATTAAAAAAATGTTTTTGAGGTCTAGAATCAAATTGAGGGCCTCACTGAACAATATTTTTAACATCTATATAATGAAATACAATATAGCTATAAGGCTGTCTTATGTGTTGATATTGAAAGAAAGCTTTATAAAAATGGAGAGCGTACAAAATCTGAATAATGTGACTATTTGGGTACAAAAAGTATTTGTATCCTTAGCACCAGGAATCTCTTAGGAGCTTACAAAACGTCTGGAAAGAAAGAAACCCAGGCCACTGAAGCACACCTGTAATCCCAGCACTTGGGAGGCTGAGGCAGGAGGAGGATTACTGCGAGTTCAAGGCCAGCCTGGGCTACATAGGGAGTTCAAGATCAGCCTGAACTGTACAGTGAGACCCTGTCTTTAAAATCAAAACGAAGAAGCAAAAATTAAAAAATAAAAATGTGACAGAATTCAATAAGGACAATAAATCAATCTGTAATACTTGCAAACTGAAAGTTAAGAAATGTTTACTTTGGAATATTTTCAGGAAACATGTACTGATCCAGTAGATACATACAAAATCATCTTCTGTTAGGCGTTAAGAAACAGGCAAAACTTAAGGGGCCGGGAGATGGCTCAGTAGAATAAGTGCTTCAGTGGCAAGTGCAAGGACCTGAGTTCAATCCCTAGTTCCACTAAAATATACTTAAAGAGGAAAATAAAATCATGACACATCGGTTGCTGCCATGCTCTCTTGGGCAGATGTTTGTTTAAAAAGGGAGGGGGGTAAATGAAGGCAGGAGACAGGAAAAGGGGTGTTGTCCTGCTACAATGCTATATATGGTTAGATTTCTAAACTTCTGTGTAAAAATATGTAATTGTTTATTCATGTTTTTTAAAATATATTTTAATTTTTTTCTTCATATTCTGTAGGGACTTACAGTTTAACATATCAATACTTGATGAAAAATACCTGTTCCACATTATGCCTAAGGTGTTTGATACTCAGATAGTGAGGTTAAGCTCAACAGCCTAGGTTGTAGAGTAGTAACAATAAGCTTCTCTTCTGGAGGGTTAACAACCTAAGTTTGCAGACCAAAAATTAGAGAAAAAGGAGGGCTGCAAGGACAATCAATATTTTGGCCCTAGCTTTTCAAGGTCAGTGAAGACTCAAGACATA